AATCCTGATTCTTCCACTTAGGAGTGAGGTGACCTTGGACAAGTCACTGCCTTTTTCCGGCCCTTAGTTTTCTCAATTGTAGAGTGAGGGGTTTGAATGGATGATCTAAAGTCCTTTTGGTATCTAACCTACTGGGACTCTGTAAATGCGTGTAAAATGTTTGATAAACTGCAAAGCCCAATAGAAATAGGTTGTTATGATTATTGAAAACATTCTAATTTGAGGGAAAGACAATCAAGTATTTATTAAGCACCTACCATATGCCAGGCACTGGGGCTAGGCACTTATGTTACAAAAACTGAAATTAATAGCAATAATAACCAGCATTAAGTAATAGCTAATATTTCTGTAGCACTGTATGGATTGAACAGTGTTTTACCTAGATTCTCTCATTTAATACTCATAATGACCCATGAATGAGATTATATTCCCTATGCAGATGATTCTCAGATTTATTTCTCTGGCCCAAACCTCTCTCCTGAACTGCAGTCTTACATCTCCAATTGCCTACTGCACACCTCAAACTAGATATCTCATAGAGATCTTCAAGTCAACATGTCCCAAACTGAATCAATTACCTTTGCCCCTAAACTCTCTCCTCTTCGCACTTTCCCTATTACTGTCGTGGGTACCACCCTACATCCTCCCAGGCCCCCAGCTCTCAACCTAGGAGTCATCTTGGCCTCCTCACTATCTCTCACTGCCCTCCCCCCTCCCACTATCTCTCACTTCCCCCCATCATATCCAAGCTAGTGCCAAGGTCTGCTGATTTCACCTTTACAGCATCGTCCAATGGGGGTCATCTCCTATTGTACTGATCTATATTGTACCACTGGACCCAGATGGCTCCAGAGGAAAAAGTCAGGCTGGTGACTTTGCACAGCCCTCTCTCACTTAAATCCAATTCACTTGCAAGTCATGGCAGTGCCTTCCTGATGTCACAGCCTTCTTTCAGAATGAAGGACAAACAACATCCCTGGAGCATGCCAACTTCTGTCCTCTGACACCCACACCACTCTGATGCAGGCCCTCATCACCTCACACTTGGACTATTATAATAACCTGGGGGGTAGGGGAGGAGGGGCAGAGCAGGAAGGTCTGCCTGCCTCAACTCTCTCCACACTCTGATCCATCCTCCACTCTGCTACCAAAGTAATCCTTTTTGAAAAAAAAATTTAAATACTTTATTTATTTTTAGTTTTCAACATTCACTTCCATAAGAAGTGGAATTTCCATAAGAAATGAAACTACAAAAGTTGGAGGTAAAAAGAGGTGTATTCTAGGAGCATCTTTAAGAAGATCCTGGGGGGGGTGCAGCTAGGTGGCACAGTGGATAGAATACCAGCCCTAGAGTCAGGAGGACCTGAGTTCAAATCCAGCCTTAGACACTTGACACTTACTAGCTGTGTAACCCTGAGCAAGTCACTTAATCCCGATTGCCTCACCAAAAAAAGAAGAAAAAAAAAAGAAGATCCCGGATCACCCTTGCAAATGGCTGTCTCTTGACTTCTCTCCCCTGCCATCCTGTCTGGCCACCACCTGTATCACCAAGGTTCTGGCTCCTTGCTCCTAACTTCCCTCATGGCCCTGGCCCCAACCTGGTTCAGTCCCTTCCCAGTTCTCTGGCATCTCCTCAGATGTCCCTGGCTGTCTCTCTGCCGCTCAGGCTCCCCTCCCTCTCTCCCCAAAGGAGGGAGGAGAGGATGCCACTCAGGGGCTAATGGGAAAGGGGCCAATTGATGAGCTGCACTGATTTAGAAGTTAATAAATGTTAAGAGCTGCTCTATAAATCACAGGCACACAGAGAGGAAGTGACCTGTTCAGGGGGCTGAGTGAGTTAGCAAAGGGGTTTTATTTAAAAGCAATTTATCTCTGATGCGCTGTGAGGTGCCACCCACTGGTAGTAGTGCCTCCTAGAGAAATAACCAGCCTCCCTTCCTCCTTCCTGGTCCCTTCCCACTGCCCAGACACTAAACTGTGGGATATCTAAGGACACAAAACTGGATGGGCACGTCCAAAGACACATTCCATAATTCAAGGCCCTCTGCTAAAGTCAGTTCAACCTACCATCCAGCCCAAGGATCATGGGATCTACCATCCATTCTGAGGATCATGGGATCAAGGTTTTTGAGCTACAAGGAACCTCAGAAGTCATTTAATCTAACCTCTAATTTTTACAGATGGGAAAACTGAGACCCAGAGAGAAGAAAGGATTTGGCATGTGGAAAATTAGTGATGGAACTAGTACTAGAACCCAAGATTCTGGGCTTCCAATGTAGAGTGACCTTGAGTGAGCTGGCAAACCAGCTCCTTCCCTCAAAGCCTTGGATTGCCCTTTCAAAGTTTAACCAACCCACCAATGCTGAGCTTCAATCCCACCTCCTCTGGGAAGCCTACCCTGATCTTCCCAGCTAGAAGCAGTCTCTTCCTTCAGGGAACCTTCCTAATACCTTCTGCCTCAGTTTCCTCATCTACAAAATGGGGAAGTGGTAGAGTAGACCTCTAAGGTCCCTTCCAGCAATCTACAATGATTCAGGGTCAAAAGTCTAGGATTCAAATCCCAAATTTGGAGGCAGCTAGATGGCATGGTGGATAGAGAGGCACACCTGGAGTCAGGAAAACCTGGGTTCAAATTCAGCCCTCAGACCCTACTAGCTGTGTAACTCTGAGCAAGTCGCTTAAGCTCTGGTTGCCTCAGTTTTCTCATTTCTGAAATGGGATTAATAACAGCATTTATCTCCCAAGGTTGAGGATCTATTATTTGTCAAGTACTTAGTTAGCATAGTTTCTGGGACTGTCCCAACTCTAACCTTTGATATCTTATGTCACTCTAAACAAATCATTTTACTCCTCTGAGTCTCAGTTTCCTCATTCTGTTTTTTTTTTGTAGGCAATGGGGTTAAGTGACTTCCCCAGGGTCACACAGCTACTAAGCGTTAGGTGTCTGAGGTCACATTTGAACTCAGGTCCTCCTGACTTCAGGACCAGTGCTCTATCCACTGTACCACCTAGCTGCCCGTTTCCTCATTCTGTAAAATGGAAGCACATACTCTCAAGGCCTTGCAAGTCATAAAATTGCTCTGGGAATGGAAGCTAAGATTATCTGTGTATGTACTAATCGTCATGAGAGATAGGGTTGAATGTCTTCTCTAAATAGTGTGTCACCCTCAGCACCTGTAGGTATTCAGAGGCAGTAGGAGTCCAAGCATCCGCACTGGAATCCTGGATCCAGGACTTCCTAGCTGTGAGACCTTGGGAAAGTCATTCTCATCCTCTGGGCTTCATTTTCTTCCACCTCTGTAAAATGATGGGGTGAGACTAAATAATCTCTCAGGTGATTTTTCAGCTCTGATATTCTGTGAATCTAAAATTCTGAATTTAGAAGCAGGTGGATGGCAGCACCTCCTTGGGGACCCTGGCAGCAGAGGGCAAGACTTCTCTTCATCTTCAGCCAAGTAGGCTGGTCACTTTCCCATCCCACCCACCTCCCACCAGCAGCTGAAGAAATGCCTCCAGGCATCAGTTAGGGGTTAAATTAGAAGGACCAATTATTCTGCCTGGGCTACCCAGGGGTAACTCATTAGCAAGAATATTTTAATAGAGATAACGGGACTTCAAAAAGTGAATGGAACTGCCCTGAGGTAGGAAACCCAGGAGGCTTTTATGCTCCATGCTCTGTATCTTCTTTCACAGGCAACAAAATGGAGGTGAAGCCCTCCTACCTGGAGCTACAAGGACCGATCTGAGCTGGCCGTGCCTTTGGACCGAGACACTGCTTTGTCTGCCAGTTCGTGGGCTATGCCCAAGGTCACCAAGCTAAGAAGTGGGAGAGCTGTGGTGCTCCATCTGCCCGTGTTCCCCGGGTCCCATCACATCTCTAGCCCAAGACAGGAAAGAGCTCCCAAGACTCTCACCTTGCCTGAGAGTCAGAAGACTTGGATTCAAATTCTGCAGCTGCCTCTGACTGGATGTGTGACTTTGGAAAGTCATTTTTCTTCTCTAGGATTCAATCTTCTTTCTCTAAGTTTCTCTAAGTTAAGGATAATAATACCTGAACTACTTCAGCAGACTGTTGGGTTAGTTTTCCTAAAGACCAGGAGACAAGAAGTATTTATTAAATACCTACAAAGGGCCAGGCACTGTGCTAAGCACTTTACAATTTATTTCTCATTTGATCCTCTCAACAACCTTGGGAGGTAGGTGCTTTTATTATCCCTGTTTTACTGATGAGGAAACTGAGGCAAACAGGTGAAGTGACTTGCCCAAGGTTATATAGGTAGTAAGTGGCTGAAGATAGATTTGAACTCTGGTCTTCCTAACTCCAGACCCAGGCTCTATCTACTATACATCCTATCTGCCCCAGAGGGGAGAGGACAGACAGGTCACCCCAAGCTGAGGATGAATTTTGGATTGATTGGACAAATGACTTTAGTGTCCTAAGGAGCCTTTGAGTAGATGTGGATGGTGGATCAAGACCCAGAAGGATCTTCAGAGGCCTCAGTCAAACAAGCCAACTTGTGGAAGTAATGTAGCTGGTCCATGAACTTTGACCTACAAACCCAAACCTATTGATGCTAAGCCCTTTTTAAATTTTTTTAAAATGTGATTTAATAAACATCAGCAAACATGAACATTTCAAAAAAAGCTTTATATATGAAACCATGAACTTGGGGTTTTTTTAATTGTATATTAAATTCAACACAAAAGTCACACAACTGCTCTGTTTGACTGTGTCCCCTTCTGAACTACCTTCTTGCCCATCCCTTGCTACCAGACTGCCCTCTGGACCCTGCCTAAGTCAATGAGACCCATGGATCCAGAGAAAAGTTAGGGCAGCCACCTGTCCTCCCCACCTTGCCTTGATAAGAATACAGGGGCAGCACCTTCTCATTTAAAATGCCTCAATACAGCCCCTTGCCTTAAATTTCAAGGGCAGAACATTCAGTCTGGGCACCAGCCTCTCATAACTGAATCTTCTCATAGGAAACCAGGCAACTTACCTTTGGCTGGAGGACAACCTGGAAGGTGGGCAGAAAATCCCCTTAACTTGTTCAGCCCAGGCTCCAGTTGCTGCCCTGGTCACTTTCCTTCTCGGGCCTGCTGCGATTGAGAGCTCAGGGATAGTGGGGGCAGGAGGCTGTAGTGAGAAAGATGAGAAGGGGGCTCAGGGCTGAAGCCATAAAGAGGCCTTGGGGGGGGGGCTGGAAGCTGCTCACCCTCCCCCAACCAGCCCAGCCCAGCCCAGCCCAGAAGGGAGATTACTGCTGAGAGCTGACCTGACCCTGGGACGCCTTGCACGCCTTTCGCCTTTCGGTACTGGAGGTATCACTTGACCCAAGCTTTGAAAGATTAACACCCCAAGCTTAGGCCCTAATACAGGCAAAAACTGAGTCACTCAGCCCCACCCTACCCCCACCCCAAGTGTATACACAGAACACTCACATATTTGACTCATTGGACTCAGGGCTGGAAAGGAACATAGAAGGTCCCTCAGACACCATGGAGTACAGCTGCCTCTTTTTACAGATGAGGAAACTGAGGCTCAAGGGAGTCCAATGACTTGCCCAAGGCCACTCAGGTAACTATAGCAGAGCTGGACTTTCCACTGCACACTATGAGGCTGTCACTACCTGGGCCTCCCTTGCATATGCCCTGGTCATCTTGTGCCAGTTTGTATAGCCTGTTTGTTCTTTGTCAGGAGGTCCTTCAAACGTTGACTTCAGTCTCAGTCTATAAACAAATACCCCCCCCCCAAACCTTCCCTCTCTAAGAGGGCTTTCTTTCTCTTCCACTGATTTACCCTTCAGGCAGATGCCTACTGCCTACCTAGGTCACCTTGGGTTCTTAGCCTCTCTGCCCTCACTTTCCTCATCTGTACAATGAGAGGATCTGACTAAATGATCTCAAAGGTTCCCTTCAACACCAGGTCTCTGACCCTGTGACTCTTTGAGTCTATGACCTGGGTGGGGGAGGGGGGAACAGTGGAGGACTCTCTCTATCAAAGCTGCCAAAAGTCTACTGGACCCTGGACTCTGGGCAACAGAGATAACCGGTCCTCCCTGGGCCCTTGTTCTCCTTTCTTCTCACCCTTAAACCGAGGCATCAAAAGGTGAAAGAGGCCTAAGGAAGTCATCAGAAAGGAAAAAGTCACCGTGCAAAGTTTGAGTGCTTCAAAGTTCATTTATGTCAACACACTGAACCCTGACACTGACTTTGGGAGGTAGCTATGGCCCTTCTTTTACAGACGAAGAAACTGAGGCCCAGGGCAGTTTGCCCAAGATAATCAGCTTCAAAGTGAGACAGCAAGAATTCAAACACATGCCTCGTAATCATTCCCTGAGCCTCAGCCATCCTCTGTCCCACCAGCAAAGTCCCTTTCTCTCTCCATACCCAATACCAACCTCCTGCAGGAGGGAGTATCTCATTTACCTCACTGTCAGTTACTGCAGACATTATCATTATTTTTATTATTTATCATTATTAGTATTATATCATTATTTCTATTACATTAACATTATTAATAATAACCAACGTTTTTCTAGAACTTTAAAGCATGCAAAAAGACCGCAAGTCCTAAGGAGATCTCCCTAAGGATATGTAGTGTAGATGTAACCATGACATTGCCTACAATGGCTCTTCACTATAACATACAAATTCCTTAACTTGGCATTCAAAGCCTTCCACAATCTGACTCCACTGTCTTTCCAGCTTGATTTCATACCATTCCTCATCGCTCTCTTCACATTTTGATCATGCCCTTTCCTGCCCCTAACCTTTCACTCAGACTTTTTCCTCTCCCCCCCCCATCCCTGGAAGGCCTTCCTTCTGCATTTCCACCATTTGGAATCCTTCCTTCCTTTCAAAGTCCAGCTCAGATGCTCCCAACTAGAAGGAAGGTTTCCCTTCACAAATGTCCTGAGGGCATGTTTTCTCTTTCTCTCCTTTTGTATTCTATCTTGTATAATACACACACAAATATATATACATACATATGTATATATGTGTATGTATGTATGTGTGTGTATATGTATGTATATATATATATATATATGCACACATATATGTCACATCCCTCATTAGACACAAGTCCAGAGACTACATCTTATCCCTCTTTTCCTACCACCTAGGACAGGGTCCTACACATAGTAGATCCTAAATAAATAAGTGTTTCCTTAGATTATTACCATCCAAGTACTAAGAGTGAAAGCCCCATGAGAGCAGAGGCTATTTTATTTATTGTCTTTCTATCTCCAGCACCAAGTCCAGTGTCTGGCACAAAGCGGTGCTTAATTACTGCTTGCCGATGAATGAATAATAATTATAGCAATAGCTAGCATTTATCTGGTGTTTGAAGATTAGCAATGCACCTTATATGTGTTATCTTATCTGAGCACATCTTAGCACAGTTCTGGGAGGTAGGTTAACTATCATTATTCACATTTTACAGATGAGAAAGCTGAGATGGGGAGAAGTGAAGTGACTTTCATGAGATCATATAGTCAGTAAGGGACTGAGACAGAATTTGAAATTCAGGTCTTTGTGACTTCATATTCCTAATGTCACCTAGCTGCCTCTACCTCTTTCCAACTCAAATTTGTCCCATTTGAAAAAATGACCTGTTGGGTATGAATGACTAGTAGGGGCTTAGTATGGCATTTCAGCCAAGGGAAAGTAGGGATTCTGTTTTTACAGGGGACAATGCCTGAACTCAAAGGATTACTTAAAAAAGTAATTTAACTTTAGCTCCAGAATTTGCTTCTGTTCAGAGACCTGGCTCTGCCATGATTGACTTGAGAAACTTCTTCAGACTTCAGTTTCTCCACCTGAAAAATAATCAGGATATTAGGCTACACAACTGCTAAGGTCCTATCTGACTATGACATTCATTTATTTGATCAGCAAACATTTATTAAGTACCTACTGTGTGCAAGACTCTAAACTAGGTGCTAAATACCTAAACATTGCAAATAATCTCTTCCCTCAAAGAGCTTACTTGCTACTGGGTTTCTACAACTTCTGACCTGGAAATGCCCTAAGAGAGAGAGAAGGGCTCAGAAGATGCCATTAAGGACTTAGCCTCAGATAACCTCTAATAGTCAGTCTTCATAGACAATTCTCTCTGGTGTTCCCCATGCATAAAACCTGAGCCAGGTAAGAGTACAGTCTGACACACCACCCCCGCCCCCTCCATCCCAGGGGAACATTCACAGCCCAGGAGAAACACACCCACAGACGTACATGGAAGGACACCTGGGGACACCCAATAAGTGCCATCACATTGTAGTCCTGCTGTAACAAGGCGTTAGCTGCCTCCCGTCTCTGAAAACTCTATTTTGCACAGGCAGTGTGACTGGGGCCAGTCACACAAATATCAACAGTGTAAACCTTGACTCTCTCTACTTATGTGGGTTGGCTGCGGGTGTCCTAGATGCTCAAGAGAGATTTCTGCTAATATATATAGCTGCTGCCTTTCCACCCCCACAGCTCAGCTGCCCTGCTTTGCTTGCTGTGCTAACACTAATTCTCAATTCTTCTAATGAGGGTATTTCAGACACCACAATTGGTTAGTAGGGGAGATATTTTTGGATGGGGTGGAGAACAGCAGTGTACCCTCCCATCACGTCATGTGACTAACTGCCTACTCCATGTACGGGTAGACGCTGCCCTGAAGAGGAAGCATCGAGATTGGCATTGGCAGCTGTCAAGGATTACAGGATTTCAAGCTGGAAAGGATTCTTAGAGACCACCTAGTCTGATCTTTTCTTACAAATAAGAAAAATGAGTTCGGTGAAGAAGTGACTGCCTCAAGGCACAAAGGTCTAGGATTCAAACTCAGGTCTTCTGATTTCAAATTCAGGCATTTATCCACTTTGCCATGTTGCTTCCTTGACGGGATAAGAGCACTTTCTTCACTGACTAGGCCCAACCCCAACCTTTCTCCAAATCATGTAGCCTAGAATCTAACTGCTGCAGGTTTGCATTCAATCCCACCAGTCAGCCAATCAGTCAACAGGCATTATTTATTAATTGCCTTCTGTGTGCTAGACATGGTGCTTGTCTTCCTCCCTAAATATGTATTGATTCCAGGAGGGAATATGGAAGGCATGGCCCTGGGTGGGAGAAAAGTAGGGAAGAAGATTCTACAAGGCCTGGAGCCAAGTGAGGGCTCAGTGAGGGGAGGAAGCCCAGACTGTGCCTGGCTAAGGTGCTAAGGTATCCAGCGCAGGGCTCAGGGCTCAGGGCCCAGCTCAGGCTATGGCATCTGCAGCCAACTTTCTCTCCTCTGGCTTGCCTCAGACTGACATATGCCAGTCTAGGCCTGGGGAAGTGTGACGTGTTTCATCCCATGTTCCCTCTGTATGACCTAGCACATAACCTTCAAGACCTTTCTCTGCAGAGGTAAGTTGCCCCTGAATCGGCCTCTATCTCTTCCATAAAAGCCACTCCCCCTCTTTCCTCCTCTCCCCCTTAGAAAAAAATCCTCAGAGGCCACATGTCCCTACCTGTCCCCAGGGCTCCTGGATCAGCCCAGCAGCCAGATGCGCACTTTTATTACAAGATAATTGGTTTCAACAGCTTCCCTCCACCCTACCTCCTCTCTCCCCCCCACCCCCAAAGTATCCTGAAGCTACCCGCTCTCCTCTGACATCACAATGGGTTGCCATGGAAATGGGACCACAGACAGAGCATAAGAATGATTTGGGGAAGGGGAGGAGGGAAGGGGAGGAGGAGGAAGCTGCAGGAGTTGATGAGCGGCTCCACAGGATGAGGTGGGGGGAATCTTCAGCACCAATAGCAGGAAAGGGTGTGAGATCTCAGCTAGAGAAGCCAGCCAGGGCCGAGGCTGCGGGCCAAAGCCGAGACCGCTCTGCAGCGGGAGCAGGGAGGTGGGACGGTCAACACGCCTTCCCTCCTGTTTACATGCGACTTCTATATGCATGGAATCCTCCCGAGTTCTGCAGGAGTGGAGCGTCCATGTGTTCTGTGGAATCCATGTGCAGTCTGTGGAATCTTCTGGTGTTCGACAGAATCCTCCTGAATGCTTTGGAGCCCAAGCCTCCGGGCGTCCTGGGGATCTGTATGTAGGTGGAGAGATGTTTGCTTGACAGCAGGGACCCCTGACTCTGGGGCCCATGA